CTCTGTCCGAATATAACAAAATTTGCCCATCATGCTTGTAGGAGGATTATGTTACCTTTGGAAGAGCCAGGCTAGCTGTTTCAGCCTTTATGCTAAGCTAAGCTAACCAGCTGCTGCCTCAAGCTACAATTTACCATACAGTGGTATCAATCTTCTCATCTAACTCTCAGAAAGAAACTGAATGAGCATATTTCCAAAGGTTTAACATTAATGGTAAAACCTCCCGAGCTCAGGAAAACACTTCTGCTTTAGTGAAGCTAAGGAGGATCCTAATACATGAAATTAAACTAAATAAACCTAATTCAGGTGCAGGCTGTAAAAAGCCTCCTCTCGGCAAAAGGCCTTGGATTCTTCTGAGAGCTTTCTGCCAGCACTATCCTCAGTGTGGTTCATTCAACTATGACTGATAATCCACAGCTGTAGCCCCACATTTCGAGAGAAAAATGAGACATTATTTTATAGCTTGACCCCAGGGTGACACTGTGTTCCTCAAGTTTCAACCCTGTGTTGGGTTAAAAAATAGAACTGCAGTTTAAAAGCATTTAAGGAAATAGGCTGAGGCGCACACCCGGGACTGCTGAAGTACTTCACTCATGTACTCAAGTCAACACACAACAGAAAACGCCTTGTTTAGATGTCAGATTTTGATTTATTTAGTAGGACAGCTGCTATGGCCCACATTAGCAACCAGCATCATAATACCAATGTTGAAAGAACTGGACAAATGTTCCATGAGACGTGGCTGTGCGCACAAAGCCATTTAATCCATGTAAACATGTTAAGTCAACAGATCATGTTATGTTAGCTCAACGGGATTGACTCCATGTACTGTAACTCAAAGAAAAGCTTAGTGTTGGAATAATAGGTTGTTGGGTATTACATAAGCAATACAGTCTATCATGCCTCACATGAGACTGTATCTACAGTATGCATGAGAACATGATTGTGTTTTTGTCTCGTTTAGGTTAATTTGTTAATTTGCCTGTAGGTTTGATTTAAAAAGGTTATTGAAGTCTCTGGGGAAACTGTTAAAATATGAGAAAAACAACACTATACCTAATTCAGAACCCTTATTCAGAAAACACACATGAAAACACTTTTTTCCCCCTTTATAATCCCATTTCAGTTGCACTGTGGTCACTTGAATGCTAAATTACTCTTACTAAATATATTTCTGTTACACAAACAGACCAGCACACTCATGCACTCTAACACAACCAGCTCTGAACCTTTAATGACATACATCTTTCTCATGTCAAATCTGTTTTATTTGTCCAGCCCTTAATCTCAGTTACAGTCTCCACCTCCTGGAAAAACAAATGATAATGTTACTTACTGTACTTAATGTACTGGACTTTCAGTAGCCATTAGCATTACTAATCCATCCAAGTTAAATAAAATGAAATGTTTTAATGTTTATATCTGTGAAACACGTTAAACCAGTGGTATGTTGGAAAATAAAGGCTGTGTTGCTCTCGCTTTATTTAGCAGCAGAAAAAAGATAAATACATGTTCAGTGTGATGAAGTCTGGAATGCAGAAAAATGGTCACCGATAATGTTAAGCACAGGCAATTTGTAATTTATGGGCTAAAACATGCAATACCACCAGTATGCTCCTTTAAGGACAGTGGTGCCTGGGCAAAGAGAGACCGTCTTTGTTGTTTTTTCAAGTTGTCTATCCTTGAAAAGACACACGGAACAGGTAAGCAGTATTTGCCTGTCTCTTTCTCTCTCACACACACTAAAAGTACACACTGACTCAGCAAACGGTCATGCAAAAACACAAAATAAATTCATGTGTCATCAAGTAGTGAGAATAAAGCTCAAATATTGGAGATACTGATCATCGTTCTCTATGCTTGAAGTGACTTCAGTAAACTATACTGAATTGGCGAGAACATAATTTACATTTTATTGCAGGTAAAAGTTTGATTCCTTATTAATGAAGTGGACAGAGAAGTACGTTTTTGACCTCAAAGTTGCTGGTTTGATACCTACTGTACACTGACAAGATACATTTTGGGTATGGAAGTTAAAAAACAAAGCTTGAACCTTCCTACTTGATTCTACGGAGACGATCGCCCTTCAGCAATGCACAAAGCCCACATCTGCTGCAATGAGGCAACAGAAAAGACTGGTTCTACTGGACCATCTACTGTAGGTGTGGAGATGTGATGAGCAAGGCATTCATGCTCAATGAATCTTTGGCAGTGAAGTGAATGCTTTGGCAATATTGTTGTTATACATTCATGCCAATAAAGCTAATTTGAATTGAATCGAATCAACTACCACATAAATAAAGGCTAGATTACGTTTTCATTAATTTATTCAAAAGGTTTTTTTTCCATTTGACAGTTCAATGTGAGCTGACGAAATCATCTTTAAATCATACTGTTTTATCCACGTGAGTATATAAAACAGTCCACATGGTGAACAATCCTCTCAAAGGCCTGTAAAACACTGTCCTCTCTGACTAACCTTGTCGCCTAGGGAATCACAGTCGTAACAACTGTTTAAAAAATGCCTGCCTGTGGTTTATTTATTGTTTATTTGTGTATGCTGATATGACAGTTAACGGCATCAGAGATCAATGCGTGAGATCTGCATGTATGAGGAGGGCTGTTTATTTTTCCCAGTAGAAACTAGATGTGAAACTTGCTGTAGGAAAGAGTACTTGATATAACATACTGTATGATAATGGAGTTTGTAGAGTATGTACGGTCTGTGATTTTGCATATATAGCGATCTATGCGAAATGGCAGTCTATTATTGATTTCCACCTAAGAACACCATCCCCACTGTCAAACATGGTGGTGAGAACGTAATGTTTTGGGGTTGTTTTTCAGCCAGTGGACCAGGGAACCTAATCACAGTAAACAGCACCATGAAAAAGGAGCAATACCTTGGGTACCAGTAGACATTTCAGCACGACAACGACCCAAAACTCACAGCAAACGCTGGTTAGCAGACAAAAACATTAACGTTTTGCCGTGGCCCAGCCAGAGTCCTGACTTAAATCCCATTGAGCATCTGTGGAGGGAGCTAAAGATCAGGGTGATGGCAAGGAGACCCTCCAACCTGAAATGGTTGGAGCTCATCGCTAAAGATGAATGGGGAAAAAAATACCAGTGGAGACATGCAGAAAGCTGGTCAGCAATTATAGCAAGCGTTTGATTGCTGTAATAGCCAATAAAGGCTTTTCGATTGATTATTGAGACAGGTATGAATCATTTAGGACATGCCACTTTTTGTTCAAATGTAAATAAAAGAGTAATATTTTTTTCCATAATGATGCCTCTTGTACATTGTCTTATTATCTTCTGGCAGACGCCTGTGTCATTTCTAATCAAGAAACAACTTGCTGGTTGAATAACAGTAACTTTAAGTCAGAATTTGCCAGTGCATAAGAGCCGTACGAGAATCCCCAAACCAACCTGACCATGGCGGTAGTGTCCTGCTTCATCAGCTGCTGTACTGTGCAATTCACCTTTCTACTACTTTAGAGAAGTTCATTTAGTAACACATTTTGACTCCAAACTCTCAAATCCACTTTTGTTAACCAGCAATGAATTTACATTAAATTCAAGACCTGAAACAGCCAAACAATTTTTTTTTTAAATATATTGGAGGTATAACATGTCCATCATCCAGACTAAACTCTGTTAAATAAAAAGGCAAACATTTAACTTAATTTTAAAACCATAATCTACCGCCATGCTAGCGGTTCTGTGAGGCTATACTTTTTCTTTGCAGAATGGTCGAATACTTCCCAGTGACTATCGAATAGTGTTTTTGCTTGAAATTAGGGCTGGGAAATAAAACAATGATAATTATCACAATATAATTTTCCTCAATAACAATATAATAAATGTTCAATATATCGTCAAATATTTGCTTTAATTCATTTGAATCACAAACAAATTAGCACCTAATTTTTCTATTAAAATATTTATTTTGTTGAAAAAAGAGGCCTGAAAAAAGATTAATCATATCTGTTTAAAAATATGATAGTTTGAAATTTAAACTCAGACTTGTAAAGTGATCCACTGTTTGGCATCAAGTGTTTGTCACATTCAGACCATAAAGACAGAAAGTTTAACCACATAATTAACCATCTGGTTTTTAAATTTTCACTGAGGAGCAAAAATCAGCCTTTAAACTTGAAAGAACATTTTTGGCCATATCGCCCAGCCCTACTTGAAATGCCCATCCCTAGTGTATACTGTGGAGGACAACCAAGTGAAGCCAATTTCCTGTTCAAGACCAATAACTTGTATTGGGATGTTTGTGATTATTGGTCCTTGAGTATCCTAAAACCCAGCAAAACCCCTTATTCATTTTATATTTTAAGTACTGAAATTTAATTGAATCTTTGCAAACCTCTTACCAAAGAGCCTAAGCATATGTTAGTGTACAGTTATGAAAACAAGCAGTAGACACATCGGGCCTCATGCAGGCACACAGATTTGTTCTCCTAAATCTAAATATGATTAAGGAGAACTTGTCGCATTCACCAATTGTCTTGTGATTTGAATTTTCTCACTTTACAAGTGGTCCAGACCTGTCACAAGAGTCACGTGCAATTAGTCTGCTGTTACCCCAACCAGGTTTTTCCCTAAGGGATTGTATATTTCATTACTTTGAAGGAATTTTGAGTTGGAAAATCCCATATAAATTACATTGACAATTATGTTGACATTATCCTGTTTGACTCTGCAGTTCAAAATATAATATAATTCTAGATGTATTCATATAGCCTAACAATGTCATCATTCATTTAAATTGGCTATTGATGCTATTTTTGATGCTTGAATCAATATGAATATCTCAAACTGCAAAATGTCTAAGGTCAGCTGGAAATGTAATCTTTTGGAAAGATAGACGGCGTGCTGATATATTAGACAGAGACAGATGAATGGTTGTTAAATAGATTAACACGGGCTGTGCTTCTGCAAATGTGAGACTTATTAGAGCTGCAACTCTGCAGACAGACACACAGATCCAACCCTATTCCCTTAATTCCACTGCTGACGCTGTTAAAAATGATTGACTTTCCTTTATTAATCTCCAGAAGCAGGAATTATGAATGAGCACATCCTACCATATAGGGTAGGACACAATATTAGTTATTAGTTATGCTAATTTACAATTCTCGTGGACTCGACTTGTTTGTGCACAGAAGGCATTCATCATGTTTACATGGGTCATTTACACATTGCACGTTATCTGAAGCAAGAAGCATTAGCTGAATCAGACATGGCACACTCGTACGAGCAGTAAGAGAGTTCAGATAAGAATCCGAAAATATTCTTGCATGAGGCCCAATGATCCTTCGCGGATGGGAGATATTTGCAATTTACACTGAGGCACAGGAGACTGGGAGATGGTTGTTCTTCCTGTTGCAAGACTGAGGACTGTTGTTGTGCCATAAGTGTAACCGTGAAGTAACTCTAGTTCACAAGCAAGCAACCACCAGCGCAAGCTTGGGGGTGCTTGTGGTTTGTGTCCCGGCCTGCACCATGGTGATTACATAAACACATAGCTTTGAGAGCGGAGACGACAGATGTCTCCCCTTGGACTATTTCTTATGCAACTCCTGTGTGTGTGTTTGTGTGTGTGCACGTGTGCGTGTGTGAAAAATAGGTCTATATGTTAAGAGAGCACTGATTTGGTTGTAAAGGCAAAGACAGAGTGTGTGCTTAAATCCAAAACAGGACAGATCTCAGACAACTAACGAGAGGAGTGGAGACATACAGAGGAAGACTTTGGGGTTACTATAGAAACAATTAGTCTCATCACTACTAGAAAAACAGCATCATGAGCACAAAGTTAATGACAAACAATGGCAGTCTCACGAGTGGTGACCTCTGCACTGCTCTAAATCCAGCCTGTCTCTGGGCAAATGTTGTGAGTCATCTCTTCCCATATCTTCTGATTTCCCCTGCAGGCTTTTATCATGGTTAAAAACAGTTCAAGTTCAATATTATGCTCTCTAATCTAACAGAATCCAAATTACCAGAAAAACTCATTTTCTAAAAATGAATGGTGGTGGCATTTCCAGTGACTCTCACAAAGAGAACGGCAGGAGAATACACTCATGGCATGGCACGTATGACATGCTACTGCTTGCAAAGTGGCCATGAAGTTGTAAAAGTTTAAACAGCATCAGATTGTCCACTGTTCACAGAAACCAAACAAGAAGATTAATACCACTCTCATGTCTGTACAGTAAACATGTAACACAGCCCGCAGCTGATTAGCTTAGCTTAGCATTAAGACTAGACAATTGTAACAAAATCCACGTACCAACACCTCTAAAGCTCACAAACGATCTCCGTAACTTCCTGCAGTCTCCGCTGGTTGCTTGCCAATTGGTCCCGGCTAAAAAAACAGTCTGACACATAAAAACTCCGCCTTCCCCGATGGCTAAATGTAGTTTTTACACTTTAGCTTTTATTAAGATTAAAGAAACGAGACATAAAGCGTGTTAGAGGTACTGGTAGGCAGATGGTACTACCTTTGGACACAGCCAGGCTAGCTGCTGCCCCGTTTGCACTCTTTATGCTAAGCTAAGCTAACCAGCTGCTGGCAGTAACTTCATATTTATCGTCCAAATATAAGAGGGGTGACTAACATCTAACTTGTGGCAAGAAAACTACAATGAACTATTCTAGGGCTGCAGCTAACGATGATTTTAGTATTCAAAGCTTTTATAGATTATTTCAACCATTCATCAATGCGTCCTTTAAGAAGTACTTTTTCTTGGTTGCAGCTTTCACACTACGTGACCGGTGACAGGGGGCCCAAAAAGGAGAACAACAAACGCTCATGTGCACATTTTCAGCTGAGGATTGCGGCTTACTTTGGCTAGCCTTCAACTCAACAATCAATCATGATTTCAGTTAATTGCTAAAGTTGCCGTTACCGCTGGCAGAACACAGGCTGTTTTTTGTTCAGATGCCATCGTGCTGTTGCCAAGGCAACATAAATTTTGTTTTACAGTGGATGAACAGTAACATTACAGAGTTGTTTTTTTCTTCAGCTTGAAATAATCCCATACTTTGGACTTTCTTCTTTGTCCCTCACTAATTTCTCTCTCTTCCTCCACTTTGCAAACAGCAGCATTATAATTCACGTTGTGTTCACAACGTAAGCGCGATGTGCGATAGTAATAAATGTGCGAAACACTGTTCTGTATAGTTATATGGATTAAACAAAGCATCGAGGCATTTTATTAATCGATTTAATCGATGAATCGTTTCAGCCCTAAACTATTCCTTTAAAAGCTACACGCTAAAAAGATGAAATCAATCAAAAATGCTAAAATCATTACACAACTGTACTAACAGCAATTTCCTATAATCCCTCTCATAATCCACCACGAAGAACATGGCTGGGTGGTTGTGTTTGTGCGTGTTCTTACTTCTCATAGATCCTCTGCCCCCTCATGAAGACTTTGGCTTCACTGTCCAACGGGAACGTGCCGTCGTCTTTTCGGAAGCGGTAAAACAGCTTCAGGTCTTTAAACTCCCGGTGCTCGTCGCACACTGAAAACACACAGATGCATTGATGTTTTCATTTTAAGGGCAAGGAACACAGACGTCATAAATGGATTTTCAATGACAAACAGCCAGAACAAGAAGAGGTTGTTACTAATTGACGCACAAGAACCAGAGCGTTTCATACAGAGGAACACTGTATATAAACAAATGCTATGCTTCCTCTTACTGAATGTTTTGTATCATAATAAACACAGAGGGACTTAAATTATGAGAAATTAAATTTGCCATGTACGGAATAGCTAAATGCATTTATTTCAAACTGTCAGCTACAAAGGGCCCTTTTAGTTTACAACCAGTTAAGTGTTGGGTTTAATTAATGATGGTAGAAAATAGCACAAGCAAACGTGACATAATGGGATTATGGGAATTTTTGATTATGTTTGTTTAAGACAGTCACTAAAATCTACATCATTAAATCATTCATCTGTAGCTGGGATGTGTTAATATTGTGTTGGTTCTGTCTAAACTTCAACTAAAGACAGAAAGACACGGGTGCCCCGTCTCTGTTTTCAGTGTCTGGTCAAATGTGAAACAGCTAGTGAGATGCTACATTGGAGCCAAATTGGCTGGGAGACATGAAGTATCATCTATTAAGAAGAACTGAACGTTCCCAGAAAATGCCAAGAAAGAAAAAAAGGAGAGAGAAACTCTCTCTGTTATAGAAAATAGAAAGCAAATGCAAGACTACACCCACACTGCTCAGCCTTACCATGGTGAATGATACTCTGGTCTAAAAGTTTTTGCATAATTTTGATGGCAGTGTCTCGGTCTGTAGCCTCCTTGTGTTCAATCAGCCAGTCAATGAGCTCCTTGGCCACAAAGCAGTTTGGGTACGTTCGCAGGTGGTGCCGCCGATCCTTGATCACCTTCCCTTCATGGAGCCGCAGCCTGGAGTGCAGCAAACAGGCCGTAGAGGAGGGGGGAAATGATTGAGAATTTATACCTTATATCAACACCAAAGATGCTCTTTCTGAACAGTCTGTAAACGCTAAACCACAATACAGTGCCCATTCAAAATGTCAATAATAGTAACAATTCATCCTGGAAGTAATCTATGTGGGCCTCATATCATAGATTCATCTATCATCTATCTATCATCTTGTAGTAGAAAATTTAGCTAGGAATAAGCAGAACATTCATACCAGGTCAACTCTACACTGCTCAAAAAAACTTCATCATCATAGTATAACATCAAGTCAGTTAAACGTCAGGGATATCAATCTGTCCACTTAGGAAGTATAAGCGACTATGAATGTGGCCCTTTCCAAAAGTACTTGCTCCTCCCTCCCTCTACTTACTTCCACTCCGTTTGTGTGTTCGCTTGGAGGGTCCGCCACATTGAGTGCCATCCAAAACCAATTAGCACGGAGTGGTAGTGGGTTATGAAACCCTCCACTGCTGAGTGAGCATCGATGCAGGCTTGTCGAAGGTGTGCAACAGCCTTTGCTGCATGATGGAGGAACGTTCTTTAATTTCAGTTCCGTGTGACTACTACCGTAAACATGTAGGTGTTTTAAACACCTAAACTACTGATTGTTCTCTAGTTTTGCGTTTTGCTTGTGTCTTGTCACTACTGGTAGCACGAGGCAGTACCTTCAGCTCATTCAGGTTGCACAGGTAGTCCAACTCCTCCAGGAGGTCAAATATGCCATTGTGAATGTTATGCTGATGTGATAAAAGTAACTAGTTACGTTACTATATTACTTACATGAATGACAGCGGGGGGGGGGGGGGGGGGGGGGGGGACACTGCTTTCCCTACCACCGGGAAAGCCGGGAGTGCATAGAGGCACATGAAGGCCATACACACTACTGTGTCACATTATGGATTGCCATGATCAAAGTCACACAAGTTGGATCATCCTATGATTTAATTATTTTATATAGATTTTCAGTGTGATTTTGAATCCAGCCCTTAGTCGGTTGGTGATTTCGGTTTCCACTGACCATTGCTACATCATTTTGTTCTCAACAAATCTTTACTGCACATGTATTTTGCATTTTCAACTACTTCATTCATCGAGATCTGATGAGTGATTTAAGTTTTCCTTTACTTTTTTGAGCAGTGTCTGTTCATAAAGTTAGACACAGCAGTCCTCTAGGACAGAGGTGAATGCATGCTATTCAAATGTTGTCTGCCTTTTTTTATAATGTGACTATATTGCAAAATGTCATAACAACCCTCTTGCGCTTCTATAGCTGCACTAGATGCTGCTTTCACGTCATCAAGATGACCTCTTTCTGAACCTAAGTATTGTGAAACAGCCCATCACTGCCTTGCCCAAGCTTCCTGCAGCCAGCTAGTTCCACTACATGCTGAGTCTTTGTGCAGCTGGCTAGCATCACTCCGGATTAGCAATGACATCCCCAGTCCAAGGTTGCCCAGTAAGTACACACACACTGTGCTGTAAATACTTGAGATATGCAAACAAGTTACAGACTTCACTTCCAACCAGGTCCATCAATATCCCCTACTCCTCCTTTGGCTCAGTTTCAGAAGTAATCAGTCTAATCTACCCACAAATCATCTCAAATGGAGCTCAAAGCAAAATCATTCTTCTTGCCATGTCCTTATACGAGGCTCAGGTGGCAGACTAGTTGCTGTGATAGGTGTACTTACTCTGATGGTTACTCTATCTAATAGCATTTCTGAAAGTTGTGCTGGATCAAACAATGACAAGCAGGAGTATTTCTGAATGAATGTCTGGCTCGCAGTAGACTATAATGATGCTGAGTCCCAGACTGAAAACATTCACCAAGCCTGACTCTCTCTTGCAGTCTACCATGGTGCAACAAACGGTCTATTCACAACTATGAGCTGGTCACTGGACTTACCACAGCAGCTGCATGTTTCTGTGTACCATGGTATCCATCTTTGTGTCTGTTTTTCAGCCCTGAAGCACATTTACTCTAAGATACGAGCTATCGACATGATGGGACACGAATGTGCGATAAGATAAACAGAAAGTGTACTGTTATCAGTACCAGGAACAATATCACTCATGTGCTATGAGCTTGACACGTGAATAAAAAAAAGATCAAACAAAGGTGTGGATTAGGTACACTCTTTGCTTTTATACCAGCAGTGTTTCATATCAGGTCTAATCTTATTTTCGTATATTCTACAGTTCACAAAAAGAAATTGAATGCCACTTTCTCACTCCCTCTTGTCATGTAATTTGGTCTGATTTAGACCAAAGGACAAAGCTAAAGCAGGGAGTCCAGTTAAAACACTGAGGGAGAACTGTAATCATTAAACTGACCGGTGTGTGTTCATACTAGACGATGTAACAAGAATAATAGCCTACAGCCATACCAGTGGCTATTTGAGAATGTACTTGGCACAGCGGTATGTGGAGCTCAAGGATAACAATGCTCACAATGAAAATACAACATGCTGATGCTAAGCAGGCATGTTAGCATGGTAACACTTGCAAATTAGCACTAAATACTAAGTACATTTACTCATTTTATGCTGACGCTTCTATCTAAAGAGACTTACAATTTCTATTGCAACTGCTGAGTACAGCTGAGGCTGACAGTAGGAACATTATTGGTTTTGTATACATTTTCACTAGCCTGTGACAAATCTGCGAGGTCACGGTTTATTTGCTCTGGCAGCAAATGACCCGCTCACCTACCCAATTCAGACAGATTTCCACCCATCCAGTTGGGCAAATCACAACTGTTTATGTAATATGGGGCAGGTTTGATACAATTACTGTACATTTTTCAGGTATGCTTGTTGTTGCAGTGTGTACCGTTATGACATCATTACATCAACAAGTCAGAATATTTTCATTATCACAATATAATTTTCTTAAATCATATTAAAGTTTATTCTGATACATATCGTGATACGATATGTTACAGCACGCATCTCCTGCCGCTGATGTATAGCTGTTTCTGTTCAATCTGCTATTGCATGAGTATTAAAAAAACCTGACTGCATATTTTCTCTAAAAGAATAACAAACTACTGCACTTAAAGCTTCTGCTGACAAGAAAGATGTTTGCCGGCGTACTTCCAACTAACTTTAATTTACCAACAACGCCAAGTCACATGTTTTGTTGCTCATTTTGGTCTGAGCACAGTGATAACGCCCCATTTGCGATTTAAGTCTGGCGATGTCAGGCTATGTGTTACCAAAATATTATTGTTATTATAATAATAATAATGTCAACCTCATGTTGGCACTAGAGGAAAAGTCAGGGGATCAATGAGAGTCATCTTCTGGGACCATGAATGTCTGTACAAAATGTCATGGTAATCCATCCAATAGTTCAGACATTTCAGTCCGGACCAAAGTAGGGCGCCGACCACAGAACAACATTGCCATCTCTGGAGCCATGCTGCTCATGTGGCTTAAAAAGCTCATAGGCTGACTGCTGTTTGTAGAATAGGCAGAAAGAAAGACATTCATGTCACAATCCTTGAGTCCTTTCCCCCAGAACAGCAGCGTCTCAGAGGCAGAGGAGTCTGGGACAGCTACTGACAGCTGGCAGCCTCAGTATACAGCTGTGCCAGGGACACTGACACACACACACACACACAGAGTACACAATGACAAACAGGAAAACACACACTGGTGCTAAAAGTACACCGAAGAGTTTGTGCAGACACAAACCATTAATCTCTCGAGGTGATGACTATTACTTTTTATGGTTCTTGTGAACAGGACAATGTTACAGCATGGATTTCTTCACGAACAACAAAAGCTCTTACTCAGTTTATCCCACCAAGCTGGAAAACACAATTCAGTGGCACATTTCCTCACAGTTCAGTGGGGGCCTGAAATTCCAGGCATTGATGCCATGCTTTACCCACTGAGTCTCTATTCATGGCTGGTGCGCGTCAGCCAGCGAACACCACTGGCGTTCTGGGGCCTTTCTTTACATACAGTAGGTCAAAGGGTACAGCATGTCAACAACACTGCCAGCATTTGTAGTATAATACCCTGATAGGATGAATGGGCAGGGCATGATAATGATATGGGGTTAGTAGGTGGATCATTCCCTGTGCAGCTCAAAGGGCACTGCATTACTGGAGCAACAAAAACTACTGACGTGTTCAGTCTCAAACAGGAACCCTAACCTCAAAACAGGATTACTATGCCTTGGGCTAAAATGTGTATGTTACAGTATACAGGTGAGGAGCAGCAATGTGCATGGGGATGGCTGTGCAGGTGTGGACGCCTTTGTTTGGCTTTGCATGCTGCAATGGATCTGAAACAGCCTGTTACAGTTACACAACACCTACTTTTTCGTCATATTCTGGTTTATTATGATCTGCGCCACACAAAACATGCAATACTGAACATGAAAACTAAGAAATATTATTATATTAATAAAGGATTTAGTGATTTTCAGGTTTATTCATTCACAGCTGCAAGTTTGGTGCTCAGTTTGCAGATTATCCTGACCAAAACGCCACAGTTTCCCTCAATGTCTGGCCAACAGCACACTCGGGGTCATTGGGGATCCCGGTAGAGACCGACCTACCTCAGCTGTTCTCCAGTGACGAGCACCTCGGCCAGCCGCTCCAGCTCTGCAGCCTTCTTCTGCATGGTATTCCCGATCCGGTCCATCTCTCTGCTAAGAGGCACAGAACCAGGGTGTTTTTGCTCAGCCACACACAAATTCATCATGCAGGGAAAATGCATCAGTCTTGCATTTTTGAAAATGAGCAGAAATGCTGTGCAGCAAAATGTGCACCAGCAGCTTTCTAGCTGACAAAAACACAGAAAGGTGGGGACGAATGGACTGAAAAACAAAGGCATGCAAGCATCCACGCGGGGACGATTTCGCAGAGTAAACAATGCACTGACAGCTCGCTTTTTGCTTACCCTTCAAGCACCATTGAGAGCGAAAAGAAGAGCTTATCAATTATTCCTTTGATGAATGAGGAGAGTTACTTCATCCCAGGAAACATGTGCAACAATGCAGGCAGTCACAAGTCACACCCCAGCCTCAGTGTGCCAGCAGCTCCATCAGCAGCGGTCCACTTTGAATTGCTCGAAAACCTCCAGATATCTGCACACCCACACACATACATTAATGCATGCGTGCACGCCGAACTCGCTTTGTGTATTCCTCTACAATGTCTGTAAAAACAGCCGAGTGCTCTTCTTCGCGCTGGGTCGGTCTGTTTGGCACTGACACTGACACACCACACGAGATGAACGCACGTTTTTCACCACGGTACAGCCAGTGCCCATCCACAAAGCCCCCGCATTGGGAGGACTCTGCTGTCGTCACTTGGGGAGTTAACCGTAGGGGCGGGGTTACAGAGGCGCTCGATTCACACACCGCCCTCTCCTGGAAAGACTTAAAAGACTGGGACACAAATCGAATGAAATTAGATTTATTAAACAAAGAACTCGAGCTTTTCGGAAAAAGATTATGACCTAATTTTTGTTAATAATGATGGTTTTTGGTCTAGCTTTCCACTAAAGGGGATACTTTAGCTCTATAATGTATGTGAGAACGTTTTGCTTTTCTCCTTCCCAGTCCCAATTCACCTTTCCATCCGTTTTGCTCAATATATGAGAGTATTTTTCTCCTAAGTGACTTGGTGGTAAGGTGTGATTGTTATGACGTTTTTTTTTTCTTTGCAAAATTACTGAAAATGTGAACAGGATCATTCTGAGTAGCTTTAGATTTAGTTTTATTCTTATTATATTTTAGATAAGATTTTTAGTCTTATTATATATAAGTGTGCCAGAACCGATTTCCAAAAGGATGTGTAGTGAGAAAAATGAGATCAGTGAGAGTTCACTTGCATGCATTTATTCTCATTCCAGAAATACAAATATTATATACCCAGTAATAAAATATGATGGGAATAAAATGATATAAAATAGTAATTGTAGCAATACAATATACAAACAAAATAATAATAATAATAATGCCCACATATTGTGTAACTAAAGACTGATGTCATTTCTATCACAACTGCATTGCTTTCTTGACCCAAACATATGTTTAACAGTTCGTTTTCAAACTTCAAACTCTGTTTTAGGTGTTCGGATTCCCTGCTTCAGTCTGGACAGCAGGCGTAAACACAGCAAAAGTGCTGTGTTTTAAAACAAAATCCTATTAGTGTGGATGTAGCCCAAGGCATCAAGATTTACATCCGTCAGTTTAACGGGATGCGTGAACTGCCTTCTATGTGAACATACAATTACCCGGAGAGGAATACAGTTCCACGTGCCAGCTCATGCTTTACTTTTAATAGAGAAGAGCACACCTTCAAAAGTCCGGCATGAAGTGGTCAACTTCCAGTGGAGAAAACATAATGCAGGGCCCCATAGGGTGTCCTTCCAATGGAGAAAATGTGATGCAGGGCCCTCTAGAGTGCCCTTCCAGTAGAAAACACAATGCAGTCCCAAGTAGGTTGCCCTGCATGCTAGAAAATTAGTTATTGATGAGAGAGTGACAGAAAGAACACTTGTTAACTTTTAAGATGCATGGCAAACTAAGCTCAACAGGCTACATACAGACAACTTTCATTTTAGCTTGTTTGTAACAATTTTCTATTAGCTGGCATGCTGTGCTTGTGTAAAATCAAAACCCATGATAAAATATTGGCTTTTTACTCGTGAAGGTTTTATTGCACTTACTTAGAGTAACAAGCGAAACATCTATTTGATCCACTTGATCTGCTCGCTCACTGTATTCTGCATTTGTGTGTGTGTGCAGATATAAAGAGTCTGATGTACACAGGGTGGGAGAAAGGCTGCTGCATGATTATAAATTAAACAAATAATTTTGGTTTTGTGGAAATTGTTTTTGTTGTTGTTGTTCATAAATCAGATTTGTGTATGCTGGAACACCCAGAAGTTGCTTCTGGGAAGATTGTGGCTGGCGATCTGCCAATTGGTTAGGGTGGGCTTTGAGACTTCCTCATAGGCATCCTGTAACAGGATGTGTATGAGTCACAATCTGGGCAGACGGACTATGACAGAGAAGCTCATCGACCCCTCTCATTGATCTACCAATATGTTCAGGTAATTATTGTTTAAGGTTGATTTAATTGCGTGCTGCATGATCTGTGAATTGCATTCCTCTTTTGAAAATGATATAAATACAACACAAGGTTGTACAACGTATTGAAAGTTTGTAGTCCCCCGTTGCTACACTCAAAGAACATAGAACCGTACTTTAATGTTAGTCTTTGAAATATTATGTCAGACTGAGATAAGTTCATGTGAAAATTCTTTTTTGTCACTGCAGAGTTTTAAGGAGGAAAAGAGCTTTCTTGTTGGTGGGAGCTCTTGTCATGGTCCTTTGTAAATATTGCATACACCACAAAACCATTCACCTCAAAGTAGATGTGAGAAAGGATGAAACAAAGTTACCCAGTAAAAATACCTTCTATGTATACCCATGGCCAAGATGTACATAAAAAGGTGTCTGCTGCCAGCATCACAAACTTCAGATCCCTTCCTGATGCCATACAAGACTTTCTCTACTATCGACACTGTCGACATTTTCCCATGCTACTAGACATTCCTGACAAATGTGGGGGAGCCGATGCATCCCGCAAAGTCTTCCTTCTACTGGTCATTAAAAGCGCCCCTGTAAACTACAACCGCCAAGAGGTGCTGCGCAAAACCTGGGCTAAAGAGAGGTTACACAGTGGTGTGTGGATCAGGAGGATCTTCCTGTTAGGAACAATGGATGCTGGTTTTGAGAAAGAGCGACTGAACAAACTCCTAGAGCAGGAGCAACGCGAGTACAAAGACATTCTCGAGTACAAAGACATTCTCCAATGGGACTTCTGTGACACATTCTACAACCTCACCTTGAAGCAGATACTCTTCTTAGAATGGATGGAAAGAAACGCTTCCTGCTAAATGGTGATGATGATGTGTTTGCCAACACAGACAACATGGTTGAGTATCTCCAAAGCCTCAAGGACAATGATGGCAAGAGGCACCTCTTTACTGGCCATCTGATCCAGAATGTGGGGCCTATTAGATTACCATCAAGCAAGTATTTTATTCCAGTTCAGGTGCAGGGGTCAGACTCATATCCCCCCTACTGTGGTGGTGGGGGGTTCCTCTTGTCTGGCTATACAGCTTTGGTCATATACAATATGTCCCAGTCCATTATCATTTTTCCCATTGATGATGTTTACATGGGAATGTGCCTGGCCAAAGCAGGACTTAGACCTGATTCCCATTTTGGTGTGAAGACAGCAGGACTGCACATTCCCTCCTACAAAGTCGATGAACATGATCCTTGCTATTATAAAGGAGTTCTACTTGTTCACAGATTCCTTTCAGCTCAAATTTATCTTATGTGGCACAGAATACATGCTTTAACAGTACCAAATACTAACTTAGACGTGGTGACAGAGCTTGTTGACACTAACATACACTCACTGGCCACTTTATTAGCTCTTGTTCAGTCTAATGCAATTCACATCAACAGGTCTGCTATAAATTCTATATTCACAAAGCTGGCTGCATTATGCATTATATTGAGAGATGTTTGCACGATATTGCCACCCTCATGTATGTTAACTGGATGGACAAAATGTTATAAACACCGATAATGCTTCAGATTACACATTACAGTATTATGGAATATCAATAAAATACTCACTGGGCACCTATGTATTTTAAAATTGTGATACATTTACTTTGGGAAATGACATTCTAATTATTATTTTTATCAATATTAAATACATTTTGTTGCTTTGGAACAAAACATTTGGTTAAGCCTGCAAAGGAGGGTATACCCTTATACCTTCACCTTTATATGTATTTTTATCATGTTTTTAAAATGATTTAAAAAAATACAGGGGAACAATAAGGTAGTTTGGGCTGATATGTAAGATCAAAACTGCTGTTTTAAGTTCAGCTTTTATGTGGAGTGTAGGCTAGTTCATTCAGAAACAAACTTTGTTTATTGAGCAACATATAGTAGGCCTATAAAGAATAGCATGTAAAGCTATTCATAACTCACAATATTTATCAGATTTCTCTGTTTTAACCACCTTGCATGTAAAGCATGCTCAAGTGATTCAAGCTGAAGTAATTTACATTACTTTTTAGTAATGCAGTGCCATCAAGACAACTCACTGAACATGAGAGAAATCTCCCTTATTGTCATAGCGTTTGGTGGATAACAAGGTCCGACCGCGACATCTGCTGGCTAATAAGGGCATTGCGGGAAATCTTTTTTGTTTAGTTTTTAGATCATAGATTTGAGAATGCCACATTATCTAATAATACATAACAGTCAACAGGTTGTGGCAGAAACATAACACGACCCACGATTCAGAAATCGTAGAAATCGTTTAAGTTAGTCGTTAGGCTACTAACAAGAGCGTAGACTTTGGCAGAGACGATCCATACCAATGTCCAGCGACGACTGAACTGTCCCTACCAATAATTTAGATTAAAACAATTAACGTTACATATAACCACTGTTGTCCGTCAGCGTCTAGTTATGTTTATTTGGTAGACACACGGTTGACATGGCTTGTTCTTCCCACGAATCCAATGTTTTCTTTGTTTTGTTTTAAGATAATGTCCTCTCCCTTCATGCGCCTCACAGTGGTTTGGTCCGCTGCTTGACTTACTGACCCTTTTCAGCCCCTCAGCTGCTTTATTGCTGAAGTCTCATCGTTCCCACCAACAATAACAGCTTTGTTCATTTTAACAAGAACATATGACTCTAAAACTCCTTACTCGGGCCAGTGGCGCAATGGATAACGCGTCTGACTACGGATCAGAAGATTCTAGGTTCGACTCCTGGCTGGCTCGAAACTTTTGACTGAAAAATGTTCCAGCCATCTAGCACTAAGAACCGAAACGGAAACTCACTGAAACAAGCGATCATTATTATACACAGGCTGAGAGATCTGACTGCGGACAACAAGATTGGCGGTTCGACTCCAGCTTAGGGCTGTACCCCATCGAAGTAAGTAAACTGTGTTTAAGTGTTTTGTTTTCTTTATAAATAGTCGTACACGATATATTTCCATCGGTCGATTTTGTTGTTCAGTGTAACATTACATCAAATGGCCTTAGAATGCCTACAGTGTTACTTTGGACAACATGACTGTCCACTACTGCAGCAGGGACTAATGTCTGAATGCAGGCCTATAATGCATGAATTACACTGTGGACCCGTTAATCAAATAATGCATCAATGTTAATAAATATTAAGCAGATGTACTTGTAAAAGTAACACACATATATATATATAGGCCTATATATAGATATATTTATATAAATAAATATATATAGAATTGTCTTCAAAGAAAGAAAGACATCATGGTTTGTAGTGTAGAAATCGATATTTACAGTTACTTTTAAAAAGAACATAGGCCTATGATTCGTGCTTTTAATCTCTGGGTTGTGATGGATAACCAACTTTTTCCCCCCAGACTTTTAAGAACATTAATTTCAACCATGTTCTGTTGATCTAGGGCTAAGAGCCGGAGGACAAACAAGCTATGAATACAACTAAGTTACTACTTCTCTATTTTACTCTCAGGTCAATATCATAGTTATAGTACACATATGACTCTAAACACTCCCACCTAAATGTTATATTAATAGCTATATAGTATAATAGCAACTATGTAATATATAATTAGACTTTGAACATTGTCCAAATATGTCTTACTTTAATTTGGTGCTCCCTCCTGCCACCTTGTTCTTGTCAGTGACCGTGAAAGTCAATCACGTTTCCCTCTGCAACAACAAATCTACCAGGATTTGCATGCTGTGGCCAATCAGCACTCCTATTGCTACCAAGATTTCACCAAGAATTGACCAATCCCTGTGCCAAAGAGACATTGCATGAAATAATAAATACAAAAAGTTAGACAACGATCAAGTACAATGTTTCACTTTTTACCAACATATCAAAAGTAACTCACTCCTTTATGGCTGTTGTGAATACAAATACATTGGCATATACTGTATGTATGTTAAGGAATAACCTGTGGCTTAGTAAAGTTAATGACTAGCTACCATAACTTACCTGTCCAATCACATACAGCTTGCTTTCCAATAGCGATTTCGATACATCCTACTAACATTATGTTGATGCAAAGTCAATTTAACTTGTATATCTGAGAGACTAACTTGCCTGTTGATGATATTAGCTAAGTTAACATTAAGATACAAACAGTTTTACTCCTGCTTTGGCTGGCCTATATTTCATTTTATTTTAGCTAGTCATGCAGTTACAGATTGTAAATTCATAAATAAATAGCTAAGTTAGTACTTATGCTAAAAGACCTTTGTAAAGTCCATGTCCCTTTTCCCTTATCCACTACGCCTTACTTACTTGTAGAATCCTCTTTGTCCCAGGTGGGACAGAAGCTGTGTTAAATAATAGTTTTGATAGCAAGCATCACTCCAATATGATGCTTTACTTTTGTATGTGTAAACCTACTTAACAATAAAGCTGATTCTGAGGTTTTGGTCTTGGGTCGATGATTAAAGGTCTCAACAAACCAGATGAAGTGGCTCCTCCTGAGGTACAGTTTGTCGGCCGAGACTGCTGTGGCAACACTCTTCTGAGGCAGGTGTTTGAGGAGTGGGAGCAAATGACCATCCGGTTAGACATATAGCTCTTCATGCAGAGATTTGTTGTGGGTTTCACCACTGACTCTCACCAGTTGTATGCCACCTTCATGAGTCGCCTACATTGGCAAGTGACAACTTCTTCCAGGTGTATCTTTTGGATGCACCTGCACATTCCCACAACCATCTTCAGTATTCATGCAAAAATAATTGCTGTCCCCACCTACACAGAAAGAAACACCTGCTGCCTCCCCAAGCATCTGTGGAGCACACTAGCATGTATTTGTTGTCACACTAACTCTAACTGTATATTGGTCACAAAGACAAACTTAAACTAAATATTTACCTTTTTTCATGTAGACTCTGAAGGGTCCATATTGCACGATTAAGGTCCCAGTTCTTTTTTAAATGTACATTTATATGTTTGTGAACAGAATCTGGGTTATGTTGGCTGTGCTCTCGAAGGTTTATTAGCCTTCATTGCTGCTATCATAAGTTCTAAAATTATATTTAGGATTATATTATATTAGGATTCTTTTGGACGTGACAATATTAAGGGTTGAGGCCGTGCAGAGTTTTTGGGTGGCCTCAGGGAACACTGTCTTGCCTTGACTGAAGAGTGCGCCCAGGTCATCACCCTGTGGCAGTCGTTGGGAGAGTATGAGAAGACCGTTTACCCACCATGTCATCAAACCACCCTAAGACAGGGGCGATTCAGGGCCACTTAGCAGATTGTGCCACCAGGTGTGGAGGGCACCAAAAGTATGTTAAATTTAGCAAACACAGTCTCTTTATTGTCTAAAAATTCTTAGAACAACTGACACTCATCCATCCATCCATCAATCCATCTTCATCCGCTTATCCGGGGTCGGGTCACAGGGACTGAATGTCCAGCTTTATACTTTTACTTAAGTTTATTAAAGGATCCCTATTAGCTGACACCTTGAAAACCCATCTTATCTTCCTGGGATTCAAAACATATAAGACATATACAAAAGTTCTTTAAACAATAACAAATAAAAAGCATTTATTTAAAAAAAAACAAGACAACATAAATGCAAAGATATTAAAATGTACATCTAGACAATACAAAACAATGTAGACAAACTTAAAAACAGAACAAAAAAAGGAAAACTACAATAAAAATTACACAGAGGGTAAGGATCACACATTGAAAACAATCTTATATTAATAATATGTATTCTGCTGTAATTTGCAGCTGTTTCATAATTTGGTCCCGCACATTGGCCTGACTGCAACAAAAAGGTGAAGGCACCTGCATAAGGTAAATCTACATTTTTTAAAAAGTGAAAGTTACAAATTACATAAGAGAGTGTGATCACTTTCTATGTGATCACAGCTTTGTCACACTGCTGCATCCCAGTCATGATCAAATAGCAACTGATCACACAATCTCTAGTATTATAGCTGAAGTAAATGTTTTGTTAATACAGGTCGTTTTATATTTTCGAAGGTTAGGCTGGTTTTGCGTATGGCGATATGGGAGATTCTGAAGCAGGGAATCACCAGACGCACCCACGCCAGGACCTGGGGAGCTTCCTGCGGCTATTCTCAAAAGGACCAACTCTGCATTCTGGCAATTTAACTGAGCCTCACCTTTTCATCCTGCCACCAAACACTGCTGGGGAGGCAAAGCTCAAGGAGAGACCGCAAACTCCAAACAGGCCATCTCTCCGGCCCCAACTCCACATCACACACTTGACTGTGTCCTTTAAGGGCTGCACAATACATATTCCTTGTCTTCATCTATATTGTGGTTTCAGCTGCACACTTGAAATTACATCAGGAAGACATGGGTTTAATTTAAGTTTGTTTTCATTGTTCATGTTTAGGTTAGTGCTTCATCAGAGGCAGAGGTTATGAGCACACACACTTGAAAAAATGTGGGCTATCGACCAAATTCTGCAAAATGTGCACTGTGTGTTGCACAGCAATCTACAGGGCAGTGCTGGGGACGACAGTCTGCATGCCTGCAGTGCCACATTGGACATGACTGTTCAGGGCTGAATGGAAATGGACTGTATTAATGCATGAATTATACTGTAAACACATTGATCAAATAACGCATCAGTGTTGTCAAAGTACCACTAAATAGATATCGGTCTTCACTGAAAGTAAGATATATGGATTTACTAACAAATTCAGGTGTTTCTACTGTAAAAAAGGGTCAAATTAAAATAGAAAGTTGGCCCATTGCAATGCATTTATTAAATATTTTCTTTACAGCAATCATACAACACACGTATATGTTTGCTCTTCATTGTAACTACAATTGGCTATGAAATAAGGACCTGAAATGACAAGCAACAAGTATTAAGTTAGTAAACTCATGAATAATATAAGGATGGCAAAGTAGGCAATCAAAACAGTACTTCCCATTGCAGATCAGATTAGTATTTAAGAGGTTTTGCGCAAAGAATTTAACACAAATAAAGGAATATAGTCCTACAATATATATCTTTTTTTAAATATACAATGTTTGTAACAAAATACATAGATGTCCAGGCCTAATACCAACATCTTCATCGGTAAATAGAGAGTTTGCAAATCTGTCTGTCTGCTTGGAGCAGACTGCATGTGACAAATATTGGCTTATTGGTTTATTTACTACAGAACAGTATAACCTGGAAAAGTACAAAATAAGCATTCTTACTCAAATTTAAGCAAGACAGAAATGTCATAAAAATGTTTACATGGCTGTGAATTGGTAAGGACACAAAGGTGTAGCAACATCAAGGATAATGGCATTATTTAACATTTCTATGGAATGGTTGTGTATAAAAATGATTGTTTGATCTAATTTATTGCATAATGGAATTTGTATATGGAAAAATACCAACACTCAAGGCTCTGGTTATCGCTGTTAACCACTTTGAGAAGAAAACAAACCCTTTCTATAAAGTGGTAACTGGTTAACAAATTGAAAACGATTTATTGTTATGCTATGACTTTTTAAAATAATGTTCAAATAATGTTACTTTCTATGTATTACTCATATGTAAATACCTACAAACTGATATTATTGCATGTAGAAACGTATGGTGGAGGCACTATAGGCATCCAGACTATCACATGATTAAACCAATTATTTCCATTAATATCTTAGTTAATGAGCCAGCAGATGATCCTTTCTCTCCGACTGAAACATTAGGTAGCTGTGATTTGTCTCACATTCAACAGTGGACTTAATTATATTTTGTGTAAATGATTATCATTATTAGAATCTTCAGGCAGATGATTTATGAATCAATCTTGAAATTAAATTCAGAGCTGAAGTGCAAACGTGAAGTTGAAGGTACACCATATCTAAAACAAGTTGACTATCAGATATTTACACAGCCAACACAACTGATATTTACATAAAAAACAACAACATGGCAACACCTGCCAAGTATGTATTCAGAAGATATAACATAATGCTTAACTGCATTCAAAGTAAGGTTTTGGTGTACTTCATTATGGGGTCAAAACCTCATGAGGCATAAACTTCATTAACATTCCTGTGAAAATACATATCAAACCACAAGTATGACCTGATGCATTGCATGAATCAATCCTCTACAACAAGAATTGTACATCGCCACCACTGCTGTCTGACACTCTTGTGGCAACTCCTCTGTAAATCCACCAGGTGTCTCACTCCACCTACAGAGGTATTAGTAGGAGGAGGCGCCGCTGGAAGAGGAGCAGCCCAGCTCGATGTTCTTCAGGTGGCAGGAGTGGCAGAGAAGGTGGCCGTTCAGAGGGTAGCAGCGGTGACCCTCCTCGTCGTTGAGCTCCATCTTACATTCCTGAATATCACAAAGGAGGAACCACGGATGAGACGCCTCCACTGAAAGGTTACTTGAGTTTGGATAGAAGAACTGAGGAGAATTTGTGTGATTTCTGACCTCATTTCCAACCACTAAAAGATTGGACAGCAATAACTGCCTCAGAGGTGTTGTGTTTACAAAAGGACTGAAACTGCTCATTATTAGCAAATCTCAAATCTGTGCATACAGAGAAAAAAACATGGATTCTTTATCTGTGTTATGGCTTACAGTGTTTACAAAGACAATATCCTAATGTCAAGATGCTCCTCTCTGAGCTACTACTATGATTAACAAAAAACGACTGGAAGGATGCAGCCACTCAACAGTTAAACACTACTAACAGGGAGCTGCTCTTCACAGCCCACTGATTTTTATTCGTGAAAACAGAGCAGCTGTCAATCAGCCTTTGGCAAAAAAAAGAAGAGGCACTTGAGTAAAATGATGAGATAGGGATGATGAGGTGTTGCATACCTGCTCTCCAAAGCAGTATGTAATTAGCACAGAGACTGTAATTAAGATTGGGGATCTACTCATTATGATTTCTCTTAACGAGCCATTCAGAGGGTCCCTGGCTCAGAGCCATTAAACATGCATATTTCATTTTCCAGTTTTGTAACAGAGAAATGTGACGAGTTTTAACCCACCTCACAGTGATAGCATTCCACGTGATAGTCCTTGTCCATGGATACAACACGAACGGTTTCGTCAGACCCCTGGAAAGAAATTCAGACAGACAAACGCAGCTGAAACCAATCTCGCCAAAAGACACTCCTCCATCTTATTCTGTTCAGTCTGACAAAAGCTTCAAAAGGTCGATAAAAAGTGTGCGCACACTGTCAGCCAAGAGATGAAATGTCTGTACTTTAAAGTACTTCTCTGCATCACAACCTTGGAGCTTACGGGTTTGTCAACGGCCCTTTTACTATCAGTGGAGTTCCATTATAGTTTCTGAATTTACTTTTCAACAAGTCACACTCAAAATAGGACTTAGAAATCACATTAACAAAATATATATAGACACAAAATATGGCTGCAAGGAGCCAAAGATTGTAGGAAATCATTTGCAAATCTGTCCAAAGATCCTATATCTCAGATTGTGTGTGATGTTTGTCCTCCTGATTATTCATGTCAAGTGTTATTCATACAGTTTAAGCCTGAGAGGGAACTGCCCTTAACATCCATCCAGCAGCTTACATAAATGCACAAGACAGACATAACCCCCTTCCCCAAGAGACACACACACACACACACACACACACACACACACACACGCTCTACCTCTCCTCTAAATACTGGCCTCAATGCTTACTCAAAGGGGAGGGCACGGGACATTCCAGCAAAGTCAAGTCTAAGTTTGGACATTTCTTTGCTTTTGCCAGCATGTCCTGCCTGTGTGAACTTCTCCCTACTATCATTCTGCTTTCTTCCTTAACAAAACATCAAATCAAAGCCCAGATATTAGGCCTCACATAGTTTTGACCTGTAGTCTACTGGGAATATGGCTGTATTGAAGTACTTGCTACTTGTATGCCAAGTTCTGTGTTTGGGTCATAACTGAGTTAACATGAGCACATAAGGACTCGTCACCTGCTGGGCTCCTACTGATTAAAAGGTGGACAACCTCTAGATTTATGAAGCTGATCACTCACACCATGCTGGAATTCATGTGACACTCCCTCTACATTGACATTTGTCTTTGTGGCTTTGAAGGTGCTAAAAGACTACAACTGATATCGTATAGTCACCACTAAATATTCCCCAGTGTCAGGTTAAAAAAAATCCAAAAATTAATGCTCATATTGTTATGTACATCTACATTTCAGCCATCAAGGAAATTAGGAGACCTGGCATTCATCTCCCAAACATAAAACCTATGCCTTAGTCAACAGCCTCTCCTGAGTGTATTTAAAGTTGATACTGGAATGTCACAGTGAGTTATCACAGTGACTTGTAAACTAAGAAGTAAGGCATTTGTGGCTGGGGTAACAGGACTTGCTATATAATGCAGTGACATTAAAACTGTCAACATTCCTTTTAATTAACACAGGGGTTCCCTGTGGAACTGGTGAAGGTGCTGACCATGAACCGCAACGCCCAGTTTAAATCCAACCCTTTGTTGCATTAATTCCACATCTTTCTCTCCCCTGACTTCCCGCCTTTTCTATCAACTCACTGATAAAAACATAACATTCCCAAAACATATATGTTGTCAACATACATACTGCTCATGTAACATGACACCAGAACCACCATAACAAAACAAAACACACAACATACACGTGGTATTATACTGATTATCAAAGCATTACTTCAAATCAGTAGGGTAAGACAAGATATCCAACTAGGTATTCAAAATCCTATGTTAAAAACTTCATACCAGTGAGTTAAATGGTTTTAGTTTTTCTTTAGAACAAAACCTGAATCTTCAACATTTTAAATAATGTAAAACTTTAAGATCTCAACCTTTTTTAAAACTTATTATTGATTGAGACAAGTGTACCACAATACCTTGATATGAGAATTTTGTCAAAATATAATAATACAGAGAGACAGCACATGAAAATATTTTATCATGACCCAGTCCTGAATAAAGGTGAGTGTTAGCTTACCTCTGAGGGCAAGATGGGCTGGTTACAGGCTGCACATTTAGGCGCCAGGACCCTGACAGGGTTAGATGCATAGAGAAACAAGTTTTTATAGATTTGTTTGAACTGCACTCAAATAAGTGAACTTGAGTAACTTGAATTCACTTTATCCAAAGACTATAAAGGTCACAGTTCATATTTGGTGTCACTCTCGCAACAGGAGCCTCCCCCTCTCCCTCCCGACTCTGACTAGATTAAAGATCCTGATCCAACCAAGGAGATGCCAGGTTTGCAGATGTGCTGGCTTTGCCTCACACATATGAATCCCCAGATCCAAAAAGGAGTAGAAAAGCAAAAAGCAAAATGAATTCTTTAT